CTCCTTCTCCTCCCCCCTTTCACTCTCTCTGAAAAAGCAAGAGAAAAAATACCCTCAGGTGAGGATTAAAAAATAAGTAAGTAAATGTTTGCCTCTCAGTATGTTTTAGAATGTACTGTGTTAAGGTCCAGAGTTTTATCTGTGTAATTCTGTCTACTGTACCTTTTCCAACACTGTCACAAATACAGATCGAGTGCTGATAAAGCTTTTGGATATTGAAAAGACATGGGGAGCATTTGGAAGGAGTTCCACAAATGTTTGAAGGCTTTGTATTGTAGTCTGGGAAAGAGCTGAGGTAGGGATTCCATGAATGTGTTAGAGCTTTGTTATGGACTTCTGCACAGGATCTGCTGCACCATATGGATCAGAAAGGAAATGGCTGAGGTTTCAGTGATCCACCATTATCACTATATTCCTGAAAAAAGGTGAGATGACCGGGTATCACAGATCTCATGGTACCTTTTAGCTCTCCCGTTATTGGTGAGGCTTAACTCTTCCTTTATGAGCTTATACACAAGAGTGTACAGCATGAATGTTTAAACTTTAACATGATTTAGGATGCAGGAGAATATTTGCTCTCTTTTGTAGTGTTTTTTGTCCCCACTCCCTACCCCCACATTAAAAATTTTTTTTTGCCCAGCCGAGCGTGGCTTAGCGGTTGAGTGTCGACCTAGGATCCAGGCGATCAGGGTTCCATTCCCGGTCAGGGCACATGCCCGGGTTGCAGGCTCAATCCCCAATGACTCTCTCATCATTGGTGTTTCTCTCTCTCTCTCCCTCTGCTGCCCTCTCTCTGAAATCAATAAAGATATATATTTTTTAAAAAATTAAAAAATTTTTTTTTTTTTTTAGAGAAAGAGGGAGGAAGGGGAGAGAGAGAGATTGATATGTTGTTCTGCTTATTTATGCATTCATTGGTTAATTCTTGTATGTCCCTGACCAGGGATGAAACCCACAATCTTTGCATATGGAGACCATGCTCTGATGAACTGAGCTACCTGGCCAGGACCACCACCACCCCCACACACATTTTTTTAAAGCAATTGAACATTACCTTATGTAAAATCTTATTTGAAGTCTAATACATAAAATGGGTAAAAGTGGAGCTGCTCTGGTGGTGGTGAAGAGTTAGGGAGCATAATTAGAGCCTCTTATATGGTTTCTCCCTTCCTCCAGGCAGCCTCTGAATCCCATCCATGGAACCCTAGGGCTCTGAGAAGAAAGAAACCACTTCACTTTGTCAGACACAGGAAAGGGACTGGGAATTACCTAAAGAATAATGTCTTCCTCAACCTCACAAATGTTTTGCCAACATCAGTAGTACTGTGTTTCTCAACAACAAGTATGTCAAATCACTAGCTACAGATTGTAGTGCTGGATGCTGAGTATATGAAACATGAGTAAGGCATGGTTCCTGCTGGCAAGAGGCTCATAGTCTAGTGAAGTACTTCTCAAACTTTTTCCTGTCATGGCATACACAGAAAATGGTAATAGTGAGACAGACATAGATGCTTGCAACCCGAGATGGCTAACCACTTGAAGCCCTGCCTGGCTATACAGTACTGATGGGATCAATATCTCCAGCTGCCCTGTAAGGCATTAAAGGTGTATTATTTAGGAAGTTTCAGCTCTGGAGAGTGAAACAGACAAAAAGTGAATAAAACATACTGTGGTTAAGTCCTAGAGTAGAAGTGTGTTTGAGGTGATAAGGGGTCACAAACAGCTTTTATTCCCCAAGGTAGACAGTTCCCTATCTTCTGTATCCTTATGGTGCTCTATAATGGTTGGCCTTCTCCAAATCCTGTTTTCCTGTTTCATCTGTTTGCTGGCAGCTTCATCTTGACTTGTGCTGTGGGACCAGATTGGGGCAGTGATTTATTAGAGTAACTTTAGGCTGACTACTCCTGGAATTTCTGTGATTTTGTAATTAGGAAGTTATAGTGTTCTCAATATTCAAGGCTATAGATTGTGCATTGAAGCAGCCATAGAATATCAAGAAATGGAGCAGTTGTAAGCTCATCAGATACTAAGAATAAGGCAAACTGAAAGCTTTGTTTGAGAGAGCAGTACCACAGAATGTTCCTAGTGAGTCTAATTGGTGTGTGTGTTTTTTTATTTGGTCACTGTTTTATTTGGGTAGGCCATGTATTCTGAAACAGACCTGATGCTCTGTTTTGTCTCACTTGCTGATTGTTGTCCGTAGGAAAAACCAGAGCCTTCCCAAGGTCTCTGTAAGACATGGCAATTTAGGATCACTTTTTGCTTGTAGTGTGGCCTTTTTCAGGTTATCCCGTACGTACTGGACTCCTTGTCTTGGGCTAGAAGGTAAATGGCCTGAGCCTAAACACTGCTAATTGAGTTAAGTGGAGCCTAATTTTAGCTAGATATGTTTTAATTTATAACAAGGTCATCCTTGATTGCCTAGTACCTAAATTCAGTATCTTTCAGGCCTTATCTTAATTTGACCTTTATACAATCTTTGATCTTCCTTCCTTTTTTAATGTTTTTTCCTCATTGGTGTCTATGATGTCTTACTCTCTAGGTTTTCTTTCTTTTATTTTTGTTGCCCGGTCTAGCCCTGCAGCAGCTGCCATGTCTGCTCTCTCCAGATTTTCTTTCTACCCTGCCCACTGCTTTAAATGTTGATATGCCCCAGGTTTTTGCCTTTGGTGTTTTCTCTTGTCCTGCTGTACACATTCTCCCTAGATATATCAGTTAGGATATAGCAGTTGGTAAAAGACAGAGAACACACCTGTGGCTCAAACAATAAGAGGATTAGTTACACAAATAGCAAGAGGTCTAGGTGAAATAAGCCAAGCACAAGAGGGTGCACGTTGTGTGGTATCACTTATAGGAGATACCTAGAAGAGTCTAATTTATAGAGACAGAAAGTAGAATAGTGGTTGCCAGAGACCAGGGTGGGGTGGGGGGTAGAAGAGAGAATGGGAGTTACTGTTTAATAGGTATAGAGTTTCTGTTTGAGAAGATGAAAAAGTTCTGGGGATTGATGGTGGTGATGGTTGTACAACAGTGCAGATGTACCTAATGCCACTAAATAGTGCACTTAAAAATGGTTTAACAGCTGATCAATGACTCTCTCATCATTGATGTTTCTCCTTCTCCTCTCCCTTCCTGTTTGAAATCAATAAAGACATATTAAAAAAAAAAAAGAGGTTGGTTTAGTTGGTTGGAACATTGTCCCATACACCAAAAGGTTGAGGTTTGATTCCTGGTCTCCTAGGACATATACCTAGGTTTTGGGTTCGATCCCCAGTTGGAGCACGTATAGGAGGCAACCGGTTGATGTCTCTCTCGCACACTGATGTTTCTCTCAAATCAATAAAAAAATGTTTTAAGTGGTAAGTTTGTTGTGTATACTTTTTACCACACACACAGAAAAAGTTGTCTAGGGATGGAGCACTTTCTTGTTTTTTGTTTGTTTTTAATCCACCAGCTTGACAGTGTTTTCAAGGACCCAGGTTTTCTCCATTTTTCTCCTCTGACATCGTAGAGTTCTTCTGTTTGTCCCTTCATGGTTTCAAGATTACTCCAGCATCTCTTCTATATCAACATCCAGAGGCTGAACAGGAGAACATTGCCATATGTCCTTTTTTAAAATTGTGGAAAACTTTCCCAGATGCTCCTAGCAGACATTTCTCACATCTTATTGGCTAGAATTAAGACATGACCATTTGTGACTCATTCACTGGCAAAGGAAATGGAATGCCTACGTCCCTTAGACTGATCAGTTTTCATACCCTAGGGCTGGGGAAGGGTATCTCATACCCCACTGCCCCAACATCTGAACAAATTAGGGGTTCTGTTAGAAGAAAGAAGGTGAAGAATGGCTGTTGGGTAGGCAGCCATCCTAGATCATCTGTCATCTTGGTTCCCCTATGGCTTCATTTACCATCAGCACAGTCGATTCCCAGTTACCCAGCTCAGACTTTTTTGTTGCACTTCATACCTTAGCATCTCAAAATCAACGTTTAATCCAAACATAAACAATTTTTACACTCTGATCTGTTCCTCTTATTATTCTTGTCTAAAGAAATGCCACTGAATCACCCAGGCCAGAAACCTGAGAATCATCTTTTCTACTCTTCCTTCAACATTTAATCAGTCATTAAATCCTGTGGGTTCCGCTGTTTTGATGTTTCCAGTCTGCCCTTTCTAGTTAAGAACTTTTGATTTCTCATATGTATTACCTTACCTCCCGTGTTCTCTGTGCCTCTAGTCTTTCTGCTTTCAATTTATTCCCTAAACTGCTGCCAGAATGGTGTTTCTAAAGCATATACCTGATCATGTTGCTCATACAGCCTTTAAGGCCCTTCATGATCTAGCCCTTGCTTCTATCTCCAGCCTCATCATGTTACTCATCATGCTGCATCCAAATGAACTGCTTCCCAGTTCCACCTGGCTTTTGCTAATAAAAAGTGCTATCTCTAACACAAGTCTTTTTTTAAAAACAAATATATATATATTTTTAAGATTTTTAAAAATTGATTTTTAGGGAGAGAGGAAGGGAAACAGAAAGAGAAAAACATCAATGTGAGAGGAGAACATCAGTCGGCTGCCTCCTGCAAGCCCCCCTTCCAGGGATAGAGCTCGAAACCCAAGCATGTGCCCTGACCAGGAATTGAACCAGCAACTTTTCGGTGCACAGGAGGATGACGCCCAGCCAACTGAGCCACACTGACCAGGGCCTAACTCAAGTTTTTATGCCTTTACAAATGCTGTTCCTTCTGCCCCATTTCCTCCTCCTTATTGTCTGATTACTTCCTATTTTCCTTCAAGAGTCAGTGCAGGTGTGACCTGAGCATCATGTCTGGGAATTGTCCTTTACCCCATAGTCTTTGTTTGTTTGTTTGTTTGTTAATCCTCACCCAAGGAAATTTTTTCCATTGATTTTTAGAGAGAGTAGAAGGGAGGGAGGGATGGCGGAGAGAGGGAGAGATGGGGAGGAGAGAGAAAGAGAGAGAAACATTGATGTGAGAGAGAGACATCAATTGGTTGCCTCCTGCACACACCCTGACCTGGGCCGGGGATCAACCTGCAACCCTTTGGTGCACAGGCTAATGCTGTAATCACTGAGCCACGCCAGCCAGGGATACTCCTCAGTCTTAATTAACTACTCTAACTTACTCTCCCCATAATTCTATGTACTTACCCCACTCTTATCCTCACAGAGGATTTTGTATCCTCTGTTCACTAGTTTTTCTCTCCCATTGGCTGAATTTCATGAAGGCAGAAACTGTCATCTTCTCTGTATCCCTAGTTCAGTATACTCAATAAATGTTTAATGAATGGATGGAAGCTGACATCAGAAGTTATTTCTTGATTTTGGGATATCTTTGAGTTCAATAGAAGTCCTTGAGATACTAATCTAAGTTCTTATGTGCTGATTACAGTGCTCCTGAGACAA